CGTAAAAATATACTTGAATCGGAACATTTTAATGCGATCAAGTTACTTTGTCAAAGATTGTTAGTATGTCACATGAAAATACTGACATGGAAGCTAATAATTTGTGTCCAGATCCGATTATTTATCTCATGTCGATAACCATGTCACTTTCTATGTGACATACTAACAAAGTTGACAGGAGTGATTTGATTAAAATGACGTTGAATATTTTCTCCAATCTTTCTAATTGAGGAAGTCTGGCAATAACATGAGTCTGGCAATAACATGATTAAACATTTAAATTGATACCTAGAACTTGATATGCTGTAAGCCTTTGCTTGGAGTCTGAATTCAACATCTTCCTTATAAGATCCTTTGCCCCATTTGAAATAGAAGGCCAAGGGTCACTGGTAAAATCAACGTGTCCACGTAAAATTGCATTGAATATCCCATTCTCAGATTCTGCACCACAATTTCTCCACTTATTTCAATTTTTTTCTACTTCAACAATACCATCACATGGGAGAGAAATGAAATACCTGCCCAGAAAGGAGGGACTCCACAGAGTAGAATGTACAACATGACCCCAATGCTCCAAATATCAACTTCTGGTCCATATCTTCTTTTCAACACTTCAGGAGCAATATAGTATGCACTGCCCACAATATCTTTAAATACTTCTCCTGCAATAAGTGTACAAACCGTGTCGAATTTCCTCATCTAAAAGTTTAAACTATTATGACATGCTTAGTTGGATGCAAAATTTGCTCTTCTATTTGTTCTTTACGAGCATCGATGAATGATGCACTTTTGACATGTATATATGCAAAAATGCCATGGTAAACCAAGAAAAGAAAAATTAAAAAGAATCTGCCAATAGTAACCTTCTTTATAGAACACAGAGAGCCCAAAATCTGTTGCCTTCAAAGGTGCGTTTTCATCTTTATTCAGGAGAAGGAAATTCTCTGGCTTCAAATCCCTATGAATAACCCCCATTGAATGGCATGTATGAACAATCTGTACAATTATTCTAAGCAAAGATGCTGCAGCACGTTCTGTGTAATGCCCCTTTGCAATTATCCTATCAAAAAGCTCTCCTCCTGCACACAATTCCATCACCAAATGCACAGAATGTTTATCCTCATAAGCCCCCATGAGTTGCACAATATT